ACTGCAAACCACACCTTAAAAACCACTCTTTATTATTTTTTATTAATTATTACCATATAGACAAAGTGCCTTTCGTCTGACCCTATTAACTTAGCATTTTCTCCTTGGTTTAGTGGTAGAGTTAAAAAGAATCCGCATCTTCACTATTAGAGCTTGACTTTTGAAATAGTTTCTCATATTGGGGTTTCTCTGGTCACTAAGAGAGTCAAAATGTGTTTTGTTTATAGCACTGACTAAACTGGCCCAATAAAGGTTTGCATTGAACAATTTGACAAACTATGCCCGCTGGTCATCGGTACATATGAGAGATATGGTTCAGTTACCAACTATATCTTATAACATGTTCTTTTTGAAGAATTCACGAATGACAATTTAAAAGTGCAGACAATCAAAATGACTTGATGAAAGGCTGGTTTCCAGATCCAACCACATGAAATCTGCCATACATCAAAATAAGTTACCACTTTAAACTAAAGCAAGAAAGAAGAAGGCAAAACCAAAAATTGTCAACTAAAACAGTCTTCTAGTTGTCAAAACAATAATGGTAACCCTGAATTTTGTTCGCAGGAAAAGTCTCCTCCAATTTTCTGATGATGGAAAACTGGCTAGAGACAATAAATGATTTACTCACGTTTAAGACACGTATACATGTACTGTCAGAAGATGAACTCAACTACATAGATGAATAACAGATGGTGCAGCACTCATGGAGATGTTAAAACCACAATGAATATGAAAAACTGAACCACACTGAGCACGGTTTCGTATCATATACAGCACAGGGACTAGAGCAAGTTGACTGGACTGGGCCTAATGTTGAATGAATATTTTACTACAATTTTAAAATCATCCACACAAACTGAAACTATCCCTGGAAATTGGCAAAGATTCTCACGACTTGCTGATAATAGCAAATAGTTGTTTAGTTTGGTTTCACATCAAACCAGCAATTTTCGAACTTCCGGAAAGCAGGTTGTAGCTACCGAAAACGTAAAACGTTATTCCTTGTTTGTTAATTAACTAAAAAGTGTCCCAGAGAGTTTCCATTATAACATTTACTATGGTTAATGACGCTCGCCATTTCTAAGTTGACTAAGAAGGAACGCCTGATTGAAGTTGTTCCACCAACCAATGATGAACTAATGCCACATATACTACGAGCTGCTTACCAATGTATTCCCGTCCCGTCAACTTGACGACGACGACGATTTGATGCATTACTATGGTGAAATTTATATATTTACTTAAATATACTTGATGTTAGTTTTAAAAACCAATACAACCAACTTGTTATACTTTTTAAACATTGAAAAATATAATCAATTCTTTTAATGATTGATAATACATAATTTAAATAATAAATCTACAAGAAAACTAAAATTGATGTGTATATTGCATCTTTAGAATTATAGTAATTGATTGGTAGTTTTTATATATAAGTATCATTGTCAGGATTCAGATTGGTTCTCGATAAATGACCCGAAGTGACCCTTTCAGTTCAAGGCCAATTTGACTTACAGGTAGGGAAATTCAGCATTTGTGTTAGTTGCCGTTATCATAAATTAGGAAAAAACAAATTCAAGAAGTCATCTAATATTCACCCTATTTTATATCAACATTTTTTTTGTTTTGAACCCGAAAATATATTTTCATGCAAGCGTTTGGGATAAAGTACATGAATGCTAATATTTATTTTTTAAAATCTGCCAAATTTTATGTTTTTAACACAAAACATAAATCAAAATATTGTCAGTATTCAAAATACTAGTATTATTTGTTTACTTTAAGTGTCGTGAAGGGTTGCAAATTACACCTAGTTATATACATGTCTCCAAGAACTGACTTTTAATTAAAACCCTCGGTTAAAAGATGCCATATTCTATGCGATTTTGGGAAAATTCCACCCAAAACTATTTGTTATCAGTTGATTTTCTCAGCTTTTCAATCTCAGAAGCTACTTGTCTATCGTGTCTCCCGATAATTTCATCCAGCGATTCCCACGTTGGTGGAGCTACTCTACCGGTTTTGCTGAGCTCCAGCCACCTGGACATCATGTCGGAAGCGGCGGTTGTAGCTTCGCTACCAGTTTTTGCGACGGTGTCTTTCTGTATACCAACTTCCTTGGCAACCACCTCCCAGTATGTTCCTATTTTCACGGCAATAAATTGAATATCTGTTTCTTGAATTAGATGGCTCTGAGTTCGCACTACAGACAGCATAAACAATATTATAGTTATAGTATAGTTTGAATACACAGTATGACGTATAGACATATAACAATATTGATTTGAAAATATTGTCACAATAACAAAATCCGCCGTTGTAATACTTTCCTACAATTTTAGGCAATATTACCAACATCTTTACGACATTCGTATATTAAAATATGTTATAGACAGGAATTTCGGGAGAGTTGAGCCATTAATTGGTTGGATGTTGCAGTCAAAATCATGTTTCACAGTAAGTAATTCACCTTTTCGTTCCTGTTCAATAGCATTCAATCTTGTTTGCATTTTCCCGCAGTTTTCCTTTGACCATTTTCGCAGTGACGCCATCTCTTGCTTCAACTTTACAATCTCTTGCCATAATTTCTCTTCACCAAGTGTACTAATGTCTTTCAATTGATCTATAAACTTGTTCAATATTTCGTCCTCACTGGAACCTAAACTCAAAAGTAATCGTTGTCGAATTATTTTTTTATGAGCTGCGCTCGTTTATAGCATGGCTGTATTTGTCGACCCCCCCCCCAAATAACACGCATATCAATAAAAACAATTGTGTACGTTCACATTGATTAGGATTACCTTGTTATACCGCAATGTGTGGTATAAAAGACAAGACGCGAATAAGCAGTTTTCAATCAATATTTGCCAGTATTTACATGCGACAGTGAACTTTCTGTAGCTATGAATTAACAATATCAATTTAGAAAATATTGAAGGACACAGGCATCTTTACCTCGTTTTTCTAACTTGTCGATTTTTTCAGCTGTTTTTCTGTGTTCTTCTTTGTAAGTCGTGAGTTCCTTTAACACTGTCTGTACGACTTTTTTCAGCTCTTCTCTTGACATTGTTTCCAATTTCAATGCTGGAAAGAAAGAACACGTGACTGTGATTCACTGTGACCTCTAACGCACGTAAAACGCCACACATACGGGCAACGAGTTCTGCTGTGTCGGAGTTGAATACTGATGATACATTGTGTTATTTGTCTTGCATGTAGCATATATATTAATACAACCCAGAACAGAACAGACCTATAGTAACGCATACTATGTACATGCGCCTAGAGTACGGTGCTGTTATAATTACGTCAACAGTGATTGACAATACTGACAGCGTGTACATTACAAGCCTCCCCAGTCTCACAGTAACAAGTACAATATTCTTTCGATAGTCTCACCACTATACCTTTGTAGATAAGTCAACCAACATGTATCTAAGTGTGCCATGGTTGGCAATACTCAATATATATATTTTTAAGGCATTGGCTAATCATATTCACTGACAAAAATAATCTACCGCATTAGATTTTTTCCAGCCAGGATTTCAGCTGAGATTTCACAATCGGTTACTCGAGGGCTTGAAATATACATGATTTGACCAGTTTACTCGTTTAACTCGTTTTCCTGTATTCACTATCCCACCCTAAAAACACATATGTGAAACACGGTCACCATGTATTGGAAGGCAATATTCGTGTACACAATACAAGCTCCTTTGCTCTCAGTAATATGAGCAGTTTTGAAGTAAAATCTGTAAATTGGTTAGAGTTTACGATTAAATATTTAACACAGATTGAACCATGGTTTGCGTAGACGATATAAAGATATAGCGCGGTGCCTGAGTCATATATACAATGATACGGGATACTGAAGGATAGGTATATTACTTGCTAAATGTATGGACGAAACAAAATGAAAGGAATGATACACGTCATGTGATTGGCCAGACGCTCTATTTTTCGTTTCTTTCGACTCATTTCCGTTTACATTCTTTGTCTTGATTGGCTGAACGAAGGCGATAATATTTTGCATATTTATGCATATTTTTGTCGTTTGCAAAATTTTGGCTCATCGCTCTTATTATATATTCGATCAATAATGAAACTGTAATGAATAAATCTTTGTATATGGTATGTACTTACCTTCTTCCAAGTTTCCGATGCGATCCATGGCGTTCCGTAAACCCGTTATTTCGTTCACTAAGTCGGATTTAATTGAGGATATCTGTGCGGCCATTTTATCTTGGCCCGACTGTATGTCAGATCGCAAATTGGAGATCTGTTCAGACGTCTGCTGTTGTCCAGTTTGAAAGTCTTTTGTTATTTTTTCTAGAGCTAAGAGATATGCTAGAATGTATAAGAAGAACAACAATTAATTAATTATTTAATAATGCGGAAAATTGTCTTGAGAGATTGAATTTCCATATACTACTATTTTCACAGAAACTATTAATGCATTCAAATAATGCACCCACGAATTTCAATATATTAACTAATATGAATTCGCAGCGACGAATATTCTTCGTTCAACATATTATTGTTCACGAGTGTAAGGTTTACGTTGAAGCCATTACCTTGATCTTTATCAGACGGTTTAGCTGAAGAAGTCGGTACTGTAAAAAAGATTAACATAACTGGTGACGTATCTTAACATATCTTATGTAGATTGAACACACAGTACACGTGACTTACTCCTGCATTGATAGATATTCTGTTGAAATTTTGGCAACATTACCTTGGTCTCCATCAGACGGCTTAGCTGGATAGGTCGGTACTGTAAAACGAATAACATAACTGGTGATGACGTATTGTAATATAACTTATGTAGTTTGAACACACACTACTCGCGACTTACTTTTGCATTGATAGGTAGTATGTTGGAATTATTGCAAAATTACCTTGGTCTCCATTAGACGGCTTAGATGGAGAGGTCGGTACTGTAAAAAAGATTAACATAACTGCTGACGTATTGTAAAACAATAACATAATTCATTTGTATTTTGACACACAGTACAGTACGCACGTCTTATAGTTGTATATTTTATTTGAACACGAATTATACAAAATAATAAATACTTATATAATTATATACAAAATGACTTACATAGTGTTACTGGTGTTTCTACACCTGGTTCTAATATCTTCAAGACTGTGCTGGAGTGGTTGGTTGCTTTTAAAACATTATAAAGCATATCATAGCCATCTGTCTTTCCTTTAAAAATATCTAAGAGGTATAAAGTTCGTGCTTCACGTTTTCGTGTCTGCAAATAAAAACAGAAACACTTTTGGTTTGGTAGAAATTTAAACCATAAAATGTTTTATTTCGTTCCTTTTACTTTTATTTTTTATAATAATCATGAACCATATAATTATCACACATGAGTGAAAGTTAATAGCTGTTGATAGATAACAATTCCATGATTGTCGCTATCTTGTATAATAATAACTAGTGAATGAGAAAATATAAAATGTTTTGATTTCAAGTTTTAATAGTCAACTGAAAGTACATATACAATTACAGGCAAACGAGCATTTACATAACAGCACTCAAATCAGGATTCGAACTCGAGCACATGATAGACACACTAACCAGTAAATTACACTCACTGACCAAAAAAAAAAGCCCGAAATAGCGTGCAGTGAAAAAACGCCCACAGTGACTAGATATACAAGTTGACAACACAAACCACATTTAGTATTTTAACGATACACAGGTTCAGTACGCATCACCCAGCTCATGTTTAACCTGGGGACTATACTGTCCATCAGCATAAACAATCAGACGATGAAATATAAATAATTTCAGGAAAATTAATATTTACATAACAACACACAATAAGAGATTTGAACTAGCACACAGCATAGCGCTTCGCCCCTGCAGGTAAACGAGCCATGATTTGAAATACTATATCAGATTGATGTGGTGCGTGTGTATGTTTTGTGATTCACAATGCAATAACGAAAATGTCTAAGTCAAAAACACACGAAAAACTGTATTTATATGGTCAAATAGAAGAAGGATAATGTATATGGATCGAAGGCCAAAATCTTGTTGACAATGCAAGTAAGAAGGAGGGTTTTACCTCAAAGGTTACGGTAAGCCCATTGACCAGTTTATCATTGAACAGTTTCATTACCAATATAAACGAAAATAAATATTACCCTGGGGACACTGACCTGATCTACCATTAAAAGAAAACAATGAACTAAATATAGCTTACATTCAAAGCCACAACTTGTTCAGGTGTTATGACTGCTGGGTACATTTCTTTAGTTTTCGAAACAACCTTATCAACATTTATCTGCTTTGCTAAATAGGTGAGATTTTCAGCGAGCAGACGGTTCCTGGTGCTGGCCATGTTATAATCCAGAGGGTACCACTTCGACCTACAAGACGTACTTATTTATACTTGAAAAACGAAAAACAACATGAATTATTATGCACATTTTTATAACCATCTTCACTACGACTGAGAGTACATTATTCCTTCAGAGTGCTAGTATAAGTCAAGTAATCAGATCTTGTTTAAATCTGTCCCGTGAAGACTGTTGCCATAATAACACTGCGATAAAGACCTCCCGTTTTCGACATTATGAAATTATTTCGTTTTTATGCAGAAGAAATACAGTATTCTTACCAAGTAAAATCATATTTATTGTACATACATGCGTTGTTGAACATTCTACTTATAGTTTGTAATTTCCCTCAGCTTCTTTCAGTCATAATTGAAGACAAATAAAAGGCGAAAATATAGAGAATACAGCAAATTATTTTATTCTGTAATATTCTTGTGTAATCGGTAATTATGAAAATTATTTATGGGCGCATAATATAAATTTCTAAATTATCTTGTCAAAATCAGTTTTTTTTCAGGTTTTTCTCCAAAAATACTCCCAAATAATATATCATAATGTCGAAAACGGAAAGTCTTTATCGTATTGTGTAATGGTAATTTGTTCCACAAGTGAGGTGCCATTACCGAGAAAGCATGTCAGTCGTATGTTTTCAGTGTTTAGAATTGTCAATACGTTTTACCAGTCAACTATCAGGAGGCGTCAGATGACGCGAAGAAACATGTATACTAATCAATTCAGATAAAAAACCATGGCAACCCTGAACAATTTTAGATTTTGAACTTGATTCGACGCTCAACTAGACAGTCTAGACTTTGTCATTGCTGATGCTATATATAGCTTGTGACATCATAGCTAGTTATTTTTCAGTTGTATATGTTGTCATAACTATATTGGAATGTACAGTTTGGAATACAAGTATGAGCATCACGACATATTTCTACATGTTGGTTGTTTATACCTTTCAGTATAACCTATCTATGAGTATATATAAGCCAGCCTGTGAATGAGACGTTTGGCAATGCTCCAAATAATTCAGCAGTGCAGCTATTTGTATTAGTAAGCGAAACAATGCTCGCTTTTCGCATTGCTTTGTGAAGCTGGTTGCTAAGGGAAGTTCTTACTATTTATACCGTGGTCAGGTCTAGATGAGTTGACATCGCATTGTCTGATATTATTGTTCACAACTAAAATTACAAAAAAAAAAATTTCCCTGTTTTGTTTTAGTTCATTACGAGTAGTAAGTTTTAATGAGTCACGGATAAATGATTTGAATTAACAGAAACATTGTCA